ATGCCATGCCATATTTTCTATTGCATTCTGTTGTATTCTACTCTACGCCATGCCATATTTTCTATTGCATTCTATTGTATTCTACTCTACGCCATGCCATATTTTCTATTGCATTCTACTCTACGCCATGTCATATTTTCTATTGCATTCTACTCTATGCCATGTCATATTTTCTATTGTATTCTACTCTATGCCATGCCATATTTTCTATTGCATTCTGTTGTATTCTACTCTACGCCATGCCATATTTTCTATTGCATTCTATTGTATTCTACTCTACGCCATGCCATATTTTCTATTGTATTGTATTCTACTCTACTCTATTCTACTCAATAGGTTAGTAGCTCAGTTGTCAATGTCTTCCTCAAGGGAATGGCCACTTTTCTGTGTTACAATGATTACCCACAATAATTGTGTAAACTTGTCCTCCATCACAGCATCTTCTTGTCTCTCCCCCGCCCCAATTCGTTTACTTACTCTCTTGCTCCAAGCACAGATTGTATGTTAGCTTTTGATTATGGTTGCAAAGCGGCTTGCAAACCCTTTACCTGATTACCTGATTGTTCCTTTGAGCAATAAGCACAGGCTCCCCTGGATCGCTCCATGATCCTAGAGACTAATTGCTCTCCATATCTTTGAATTACCATTGCCATCTGTTCCTCCAATTAACAAAATGAAATCTGAACATTTAAAACTAAATTGCGGTAATACGGTATCGCCAATTGTTCTTTCTTCACTGGCAAATGTGTGCCCGAGCCTCCTGCTCGCTATTACAATACAATACAATACAATAGCAGAGTTGGAAGGGACTTTGGAGGTCTTCTATTCCAACCCCCTGCCTAGGCAGGGAAACCCTACAACACTTCAGACAAACGGCTATCCAACATCTTCTTAAAGACTGCCAGGGTTGGAGCATTCACAACTTCTGGAGGCAAGTTGTTCCACTGATTAATTTTTCTCACTGTTAGGAAATTCCTCCTCAGTTCTAAGTTGCTTCTCTCCTTGATTAGTTTCCACCCATTGGTCTTGTCCTGCCTTCAGGTGCTTTGGAGAATAGCTTGACTCCCTCTTCTTTGTGGCAACCCCTCAGATATTGGAAGACTGCTATCATGTTATTCTCCCCCATTCCTTTTCATTAAACTAGACATACCCAGTACATGCAACCGTTGTTCA